AAGCTGCACGCAAAAAATCTCAACAACGTGCGCTCCTAAACAAGACCACAATAGCATCGTCAGTTAACAAGCCACCATAGATGGGGGAAATCTCATGGGTCCCCATCCCTAGATGAAGAGCTACAGGCAATTAATGACTGCTGGAAGAAAGAGAGAGGAGCCCTAAATGGTTATCCAATACCACGCGGTCAGCCCTGTACATATAAGTAGCACTAATTGGCTCCCTAGGTTCTATATGCATATTTATTTGTGTGTGTATATATGTGTGTACATCTCTCTCTCTTTCTCTGCATTTGTTCACGTGTGTGTGTGTGTGTGTGTGTGTGTGTGTGTGTAAAACAATAATAATCAAAGAAAAAGATACTATGAATTTGAGAGGGAATGGGGGTGATATATAAGGGAGTAAATGAGGGGAGGGAGGAAATGAAATAAACATAGTACACATGTATGGAATTATCACTGCTGATGCTGGTGAGGAAAGGAGCACATTGAGCTCCAGGTCTGCTTTCCCGGGTGCTTTGTGTGCGGTTACCCAACACGGTCTAGGCGCAGCCGGTAAGCCTAAACTCTGGTTTGTTCTTGAGTGTCATGTTAACATGAGCTAACACTGGCCCATTAGCCTGCCTGCCTGTCTGCCTTGTGCATCCATCCTCAGTGCCAAAGCTATGAACTGGACGCCTGGGGATTCACATTTATCACTCCATAAAAGGGAAAGGGACCCACATCAGGGAGCATACACTAAGCAAGAGCAAATTTGGTTTCCTGAGGACATCGTGGTACTGCTAGATGAGCTGTGGATTGATTGTAAGAAAACAAATCACTTCCCTGTTCAAACCATGTCTTTGCACCTTTCTGGTTTCATAAAGTTAAATTTTGCACGTAAGTACCAAACTGTTAAATCAGAACTGCAAAATAAAATATTAAATTTGAATTGATTAAAAAAGTAAAGAAATCTGAAAAAAAACAAATACTGAAAAAAATAAACCAAAAATAACAAAACACACAAAGACTAATTTTTTTAAGTCTAAAAAAAGACAAATCTAAAAAGTTTAGGAGCCTTGGATAAATACACATGATGGCTACAAAGATTTCAATATTATAATAGGCAAGAGTAAAATAATGTCACAGGACATGGTTGCTGAGTAACAAAGGCATGCCCTTTCATTCAAAGTTAAGACACCAAGAAGAAAAGCAAAGAGACACTTATAGAGGACTGGGTAGTTTGGGTAGAGACAACAGCATTTGGGAAAGAAAGCAGGAGGCACCGAGGTCTGGGGAGGCAACCCTGGGAGCTGGAGCACGGAGCCCTGGGGGTTAACATCATCTCATATGGAAGGCGGAAATGGTTCCCTTGTGGGCTCCTGGGAAACTGGGCGGCTCTGTGGTCAGCCATACCCGGAGCACGTGCTCCCTGAGCAGCTCTGAATCCACTCAAAACTTTTTGGGAAAAACAGTGATATGATGATTTGGAATGACAGCAATGGCCCACTGTATGAGAAATATGGTTAGACCATAATAAGACACTCTCTTGTATCAAAACAGCAAACCCACTTAAGGTCTTGGGGCTTAAGAAAAGGTATATTGTAAAAATTGGGTTTTTCCCACCTGCTTCATTTCTGAAACTACTTTAAGACGCTGTGTGCTTATTAAGAATTCTTCCTGCGAAGGTAAGATGCATAATGAACGCAAGATGATTTGCAAGCATCATCAGAAAAGCAGTATTAATTGAACAGGGGGCAACAAATACTACAACCTACAGAACTAAAATATGGAATGGGCTCTTCTGATCTTGCAGACATTTTAGGTTTCATTTATTTTATACAGTAAAATGTTCAAATATTAATTCTGTGACCTTAAAATGTTATCTTTCTTGGTTTAATTACTATGCCAATCTAAAGTCTTAGTTCAAGTATAATATCCCTACTCTCTCTCTCTCCCATCCCCCCTGCTCACTGCTTGTGTGTGTGCACATGTGTATATATATCTCTGTCTGTCCTCTGTCTCTTTGCTCCCATACACACACACACACACACACACACACACACACACCCCACAGAAAGTGGGAGGGAGGGGCATAAAACCACTTTCTACATAAAATATGTTCTGCACTAGAACATATGGGAGTTGCTGGAGGCACAGATGACTGTAAGGATTTGCCTTCCCTCAGCCCAGACTTGAGAATGATGGTCACGGTACACACCATACAGCAATTTCGCTTACAGGTTGGGTTCAGGACATAACACACATCTCGGAAAAACACCATGGAAGTTACAAAGCCTTGATTCTATTTCTAGCTTTGTCATAGACCTTCTGGGTGACCTTGTATAAGGTATTCAACATCTAAGAGACTCCGTCTTCTCATTTTGGAAAAGAGACAAGAAAAAGCAGGAGAAAATGGAAGAGGAGGAGTTGGGAAAAGAGGGAAGTCACCACCTAGTAGTTAATCTTTAAAAAAAAATGCTGAGGTAAGTCATTCAGAGGTCTGTTGAAACATTTTCATCATTAAAATTCTGATTCTCTAAAATCCATGAACTCAAATCCTTACAGAATTAGGGAAAGTCAAAATTTTCTCTTCCATCTACTAGTCAGAATTTACCAGACCACTCTCTGTTCTGAATAAAGGATTATGTTTCAAATCCAGCCTCTAATCACTCCAAGAGAAACCCAGGGCCACATCAGAAGGACACACTGGCTGATAAGGACCCCCTCCTCAAGGGCTTTTGAGAATTTCCAGAAATGTTCCTGGCTTCTCTAATGATAGGGATTCCAGCTGCTCAATTGTCTGGCAAGGACCACTCATCCTTAAAGGGTGAGCAGCTCTACGAAAAATGTGTGCACAGAGCCTTCTGGGAAAGAGAAGAAATTTCACTCCCTGGCAATATTCCGATGTGCTTGTGTTTATTTGTCAGATCTGCTGGGGAGGTAGGTTGTTCTGCGGACCAAATGGTGACTTAATGAACCACTTGCTAAGTGCAAAATCACCTCAAATTTAGTGGCATATGAAAAATGACAAGCATGGAAGATTTTCATCTCTTCAGAGAAGAAGAAAACTTAGTAACTGTCTGACCATAGCGGGTAGATGTCTTTTAGTCTGAAAACGAAGAATTTTCTAAAATTAAAAAGGCCCAAACCCTGAGGTTATCAAACCAATCGGGTAGACAAATAGATCCTTTGGGGGTTAAATGACAGGATAACTGATCTAAATATATTCAGAAAACAAGGGCGTGCCACCTTGTGTCAGGATACATTCACAGAGCTGGCCGTTGGGAATTTTGATGTACACAGTTATTACGATGACAATCTGATAATAAATTCTTAGTAAGAAAGCAGAAGAACGTGCGGCTGTCCAGAGCCGCCACGTTTTCTCCTCGGCCAACTGTGCTGTTGCTGCTTTCCAGCCAAGCTTTGTTCTTCCCAATCCCTCCTTCGTTAGCAGCTCAGATGAAATCACGGCACATCCTTTTCCATGGTTTCAGACAGTATGACAAACACAAAAATAGACAACTTCAAATGTTAACTGGAAGCAAGGCAACACGAAAGTTACCGTTGGGGTCACAGAACAACAGCCCCAAATCCTTCTGCAGATGCCATTTATCTACACCTCAACTGTCCCCCACACAGGTCAGAATGTGACCTGACGTGATGGACCAGGATAGCTCAGCTAATAAGGGGACTCCAAACAATAGGCAACTAATCCAATTAATGGCTATAGAATATGTGGAGTTATGGTGAGCCCATACGGTAATATTAACTGGGGGAAAAAACCTCTAACAGAGCATGAATTGGATACACATTCATATACTTTCACTACATGCATAACCCTCAAAAAATCAACCCACAAAAAAAAAACCAACCCACACTGCAATGAAATCTAAGCCAAAACAAAGAGTCAAGCTTAAAGGAGAAGGTTTTAATTAAATTTGAAAATGAAAGAAAACCATCAAGTAAAATAACACATATTGTCAAAATTGCAATTTAGCTATGTCAATACCAAGTAGAATGACTTGGTAACTAGTAATTGAACAGCTAAAAAAAAATAATAAGTTGAAGCTAAAAATTAAGAGCAATAAGAGAAATGATTTTCTTAAAAAGATTTTTTAATTGCTTTTGCTTTTCAATCTATCCTGTTTCACGTAAGTTAAAACACGACCTTTGGCTTAATGGAATGCACTAATAGTTAACAGTTAACTTTGAAAAAGCTTAGTAGAGAAAGAAAAGTTAGACTTTCTTATGCCACTACAACCATTCAGGGAAGTCGCCATGCCTCTTCTCTCTACACCACGACAGTGACCCTGTAAGCTGTTTGGAGGATCTTGGTGTGCTGGCAGGAGAAGCCCGCTGTGACTCCATCACATGGGACAGATACAGTCTTGCAAAATGAAATGTCCCAAGTAAGACACAAAAGGAATCTTTTTAAAAACACTAATATTTTCACACATGGGTTTCACTGCATTAATAATTAATAGAAAGCCCTTTCCTAGGAGAATTCCATGGAAACTTTCGTGAGCAAACAGAAACCCCACAGAAAAGGGTAGACACGTGAAGATAATGCGTGAAACGCTACACCGCCCTCCCCACAATGAAGAGGTGGGTGCATTATGGAATTACAGGCAAACAAAGAAGCTGTCCCTCCACGAGCACAGACCCCCACAGCCAGCAGATTTCCTGCTGAACTGAGGGCAGAGATGCCTGAAGTTACAGAAGGGAAGGATAAAAAGGGGAATGCTCACTGTATGTAATCTCTAAATTACAACAGACCGTAACTGAGACCAGCGGCTTTTGTATAGAGGTATTTTTACCACAGGGATGTCCTGGCAGTGTTCCCCCGCCGGGGTTAATTCCAATAATATGTCTTTTTAAGTACCCGTAGTCTCAATGCATTCTAGTCTTCCCTCACAGTTATGTAAGGCTCGAAGTTGGCAGTAAATACACACAGTAACAGAAAAATAAAGGCAGACAGAAAAATGACGAGGGTGGACAAAGCCAAATAAGCCACCTACCCTCTTCTGTAGAACCAGTGGTGTGATTGCAGGCAGAGTAACTCTTCTTGCACTCAGACTCATGCTTGTCCTTCGAGAAGGGTCCTCTCCGAGAGCTCATAGACAAAATGAAAGGAGTCCTTGATGCTAACTCCTCGGGAATCTCAGGGCTCAGGGAGAGAAGCTCTAGGGGAGTAGGAAATGTCACCCTGCCCCTGTGATCCCAGTCTACCCAAAGCCAATTAAGGATGGCTGCAGACAGGACAGGGCAGTAGCCAATCACAGCCTCCAGAACCCCGCCTTTGTCCTTGGAGACTCATTCGGATACTTTTGTTTATGATATTTAAAGAGCCCCAGATTAACAGGCATCTAGTTCCCTTCACATTTTTTTTTCCAAAACAGTGCAACTCAATGCCATCTTTGTTGGCGAAACAGCTGTTTCGCCAAAGCATTTCAACGTGAGGCGATGCGAAAACCTTTTACATTGCTTGCATACGTTACGTTAGTTAGAAACGTTGAGGTATACAACTACGTATATGAACCAAATTTACTTACGCTACTCACAAAACTAGTAAATGCTCCAACTGCAGCGTCAGCTATGAGGCTCAGAGAGAAACTCTGGCTGAAAACAAGCAAAATATTTTAATTTATGCTCTAAGTTTTAAGGCTCGTTTTAATATAAGCGATATAGATCATAGCCCAAACAACAGAAATGTTTCTACTATGAAACTTCCAGTCATTCTCAAGGTCATGTCCTGTTGAATATTACCTACTAGACACAAGTCTGACCGTCAAAAGAAGTAATGTGAAATAGAAAAAGGAGAATTCATGATATCTGGTCTGATCTTCACACATGTTTAGGTTACACAGAGGTTTGCACAATTTAGCACACTTCAGCATCTTAAAAAAAAAAACTTGAAAACAGCTGCTCCTAAAGCTATCTTAAACTTTGAAAATTTTTTTTTTACTTTTCTTAGAATACCTATAATTTCTATTCTAATAAAAATTAGAATAAAATCATGGGTTAGAGGAAGTTCACAAGTGAAACAAAACAAAACAAAAAGAATAATGCTTAACAAGGAAGTTTCTAAAAAAGAAGGAAAGAAACACTCAAAAATATCCAAAAATGTTGCAGGTAAAAACTGGTCAGTTTTCACAGTTGGGAAGTCAGTCTGGACTGTCACATTGGCAAAGTCTGCCGAACCCTTAGTGCTTCTTGTCAGTGCCCCACAGACTGAGCACTGCCCTCAGCCCTGAAGGCACATTGTCGTCTCTAGACAATAACAGGGCTTTGCATCAACAGGGCAGGCGGGAGCAGCAGGACTACCCAGACACACACTTCCCATTTCACTGCGCAAACTGCTTCTTCCTGAGGATTACCTCGCTGTCCCAGCGGAGTCTGATTTCTGCACAAACTGAGCTCGTCTTTCTCAAGAGAGAGCGGCACTGCTCCTCCAGAATCCCCACTCTGAATTCCAAAGCCCAGTGTCCCCTTAGCTTAGTGTCTGGGAGCAGGGACAGTAGGTGTGCTTAAGGTAGGTAATCTCAGACTGGCCCGGGTTGGGGACATCAGTTTGATCCTTGTGCAGTAATGTTTATCATGAGAAAAGTTATCAGCATATATTCATTTCACGAAGCAATGATTTCACAATAATATTTACAATCTGCAAACCCTACATCGACATTTTCACCTTATTATTATTACTCTCTCTGTCTCCCACTCTGCCAAACTAGAACCTTCTTCCTCTTAAATATCCCCTCTAATTTTATGACGTGTATTTATTGTGCATATGTGTGATCACATGCATACCACCACACATGTGTAGAGGCCAGAATACAGCTTGTAGATATCCGTTGTCTTCTGAAACTGATTGGGTGGGTCCAGAAGTCAAATTCAAAATAACAGGCCTGGCAGGAGGCACCCTTACCTATTGAGCCATCTAGCTGACTCGCTTCAAACCTTCATGATGTCCACATGTGAAGTGTGTGTGTGTGTGTGTGTGTATGTGTGTGTGTGTGTGTGTGTGTGTGTATGTAGGTGATCTTCTCAACGAAAATTACTGCAGAGATGGGGCTACTATCTATGAAATAAAAGATAGGTAAAATTCTGGTATCATCCTGAGCCAATATTGACAAAATCTTCAATACCTACATAGTTTCAAGAATATTATTCATAATATTTTACTTTACTGTATCCCCAATTTCAACATAAATATTGTAAAGTATTATTTTAGTCTTAAATATCTTCTTGGTGTTTCATCAAAACCAAAATCATTTATTTCACTATAACAATTAAGAAAATAACCCACCGTGTGTTCACATTGTTAGACATTAGGTATATTACTAAATAAGATACATCACCGACTCCGAGTAAAATGAGCATTTAAATTAAAGCATCACACTCTCTAGCTGGCAATACTAATAGCTATTAAATGTCCAATACCAGGGGTGCACCACGGGAGAAGAAACTGCACATTAGGATAAGGCAGACACCAAGAAAGACGCCACACTTTTCTTCAGAAATTATTAATAGAAAAGAGCACAGAGCCTGAGAACTAATGGGGATCTATGAGAAGATGTCAAGTTTATGCTCAGGTTGGAAGTCTGGATGACTTCAAACTAGCATTGCTTTGCATTACTCCATGCAAATCCATAAAAGGACTCTATCGTATTAAGACAGAATCCAGATCTTGAGTTTACCAACCAACATCCAACATATCAAGCCTCTACAAGTTTTAAATCATTTGACAGATAGTTAATTTATCAAGTGTAACTATTACAATCTACAAAGTGTACTGTATATTCACGGGGGCAGGTATAAGGAGAGAACCTACATGAACCTCTTAGCCAACCAAGTTTGTGCTTTATCCAAAGCAGCCTTCCCCACCCCTTCATCTGTCCTTACTGTGCTAGTGAGCTACCCACCTGAGGGAAATTATTGAATCTCCAGGTACATCATCTCTCTCAAAGACCCACATCAAAGATCACTCCGCCAGGAAGTCATCCTTCCTTCTAAGTCATAGTAGTTGTTGTTTTGTGCGTTTTTATATCCATTGCTTGTGTTTGGGTCTGAGCTTAGTATTGCAGTGGTTTAATAACTTATAAATTCTTTTACAATTTGTAGGCAATTCTGCCTAAGGAAACTACAGTCCTTATCAGTGGGACTCAGGTCCTAACTTTCCCTGTTCTTCCCAGAATACCTAGCAGGGCACTCTCTGTGTAGAGTGGACATTACTTATCTTCATGCACAGTCAATGGGGAAAGACTAGTCACTCTGGCCACAAAAAAAAAAAAGCCTCCCTTATTTTAACTTATGGCTAATTCTGCATAAAAATACCCATTTACAAGGCACTGGCTATTTCTTTTTGGTTGTTTGTTTGTTTGTTTGTTTTTTAAGACAGTGTCTCACTTTGTAGCTCTGACTGGCCTGGAACTCTCTTTGTTGATGTTGGTCAGGCTGGCCTCAAACTCACAGAGATCCACCTGCATCTATCACCAGAGTGCTGAGAGTAAAGGTGTGGACCATCCCACCTAGCAGAATATCTTTGTTTTATGACATTCTTGGCACAGCTACTGGCATGAATGCTAAATCTGCACAGTGTTCTGCAAACACGAGTATCAGAAGCAGTTTCTTACAGCAGCCAGCGTGCATAGCCTCTACCTCTACGTGAAAAAATCAGAACTTCTGTCTCTGACACCATCCATCCTTCTAAGGCCCGCTGCTTCTCGGGCCTACCACATGCTGTCGCTTCACCCCAATGAGCCCAGTGTTACCAACAAGGCTTTTCCCTCTTCACTCCAAGTTATTTCCTTTCTTGGAGAATGCCTAGAATATCTTACCAGGTTAACAACTCACAGCAAATGTCTTCTTAAAAGAAATCGCTGAGTGACTTATACATAAGCCCTAGTGATGATGGGAATCACAGTGTATACTTTATTCGATTATTTGAAAATGTCCCCGCCTGTTCTACCCAAAGTTGTTCCTAGATCCATTATCTCAGCCTGGCAAGGGGGTATTGTCTCAAGGTGGATTAAGTGGACACACACACACACACACATACACACACACAAGACTTAAACAATGTATTAAGTTTTGTAATTGAATGTAAAATGAAGAAAACCCAAAAGAGAGACATAACAAAAGATTAGAAAATTCTAATGACAAAGAATTTAAGAATAAAGGTAAATCCTAGTGGAAAATCTGCACAGTTATTCAACGAAAGTCTGGAAAAATGGGGCGAGGCAGATAGGAATAGCCACTCTATGCCACTAAAGAGTATAACTCTCATCTACAGAATAAAAATATACATTTTGGTATAAATTTTATCTTAATGTGGAAGATCAATATTTTATTTAGGAATGCTGTTTAGGAAGATTAAGGGTATAACATACAGAGAAATATCAGATGAGGAAAAGTGCAAACTTTTATTTTTTTCAAGACAATGTTTCTCTGTAGCTTTGGAGCCTGTCCTGGAACTAGCTCTCATAGACCAGGCTGGCCTCGAACTCACAGAGATCTGCCTGCCTCTGCCTTCCCAGTGCTAGGATTAAAGGTGTGCGCCACCACCACCCAACTGACATGAATATCTTGATTAAACACCTTCAGTTGTTTTGAGGATATTATTAAGAAAAGTAAGCTGAATGTGTGAATCAAGTACTTACCTTTCTTTCCATCCCCTCAGAACTTCAAGTGATATGAAGAGAACAGAATGAAGAAGGGGCAAGGGAGGAGAGGAAATAATATCCTTGCTGAGAAAGAAGGTGTCTCATTCTTTTATTCTGGGATGGGATAAAAATGATGCTTTATGGAGAAAGGAAACTAAAACAATTTCTACAATTAAAAGAACCCTGGAGTTTCTTTTATTTTAAAAACACAGAATTAGATCCATCCCTTTCGCATGAGAAGTGACAGGATGTCCATAAACTCATGAGAGACTGAAAAGCACTTGAGAAAGAGGAGGGAAGAGAACTGAAAGGAGGTAGTCCTCAACCCTCTTGTGACCCCAGGGTAAAGATCCTAGAACCACACACCAAAAACAATCCCAGGGCCTGAAGCAGGGACTTAACATAACAGAAATGCAGTACAGGCAACACAAAGCCTCCCACAAAGATCCTCTTCAAAGATTTCCAAATAAGTGTCAACACATTGGAAAAACAGTAGCAAGAAATATGGAATTTGCACAAGCAGAAAATGAAGATCCAATTTCAGTATATTAAATTC